CCCCCCCCCGTCACGGGGAGGGCGCCGAACACAGGGTAGGATTGGGCACGGGCCGCGTCTTCCCCCTCTTCGCCCCCTCCTGCCCCTTTCCTTCCTTCCGCTTCGGCGTTGGACGTTGCATCGAAGGAGGTTGGCAGTACGGGTGCAGACCGAAAAGAAGTGGGAGGGGGAGCCAGCCGCCCCGCTTGCTGCGGCTGCTCTTGCGCTGCGTGTGGAGCTACCCAAGTGGGGCCCTCAGACCCCTCCCCATACTTGAAAGCAATGGCCTGTGCAAATTTTACATAGTCCCGCACTCCTTCCACCCACACCGAGAAAGGATTTTCCTGGATCTGCTGGGAGGCCCAGGCGGCGAATCCACGGTTCAGCTGGGTCATGCGTGTCTTGTAACTGTGCGGGATTCGCTGCCTCCCGCCACCGTTTAGGCATGGATCCTTTGCCTGTCCTAGTCCTGACTGCGGCCTCGGGTGCGCCGGTTCGAGCTGCCCGGCCTGGAAGGGACGGTGCTCGTGCTCTCCTTGCAGGCGACGACCCTCCCCATGATCGCCCTCCTCGCGGGCAAGGGGAGGCCCAGTGGAACCCAGGCTGCCTTTCAACATTCCACCGCCGTCGCCGGCAGCCGGGACTGAGGAGCGAGGGGCAAGGGCGGGCAGGCCGGAGGAGGCGGAGGAAGGCTGGGCGGCCGTGGACCATGGGGATGGGTTGGGCGCATCCGCGTGGGGAAACGAGGAAAAGAGAGGGCCTTGCATGGATGGTGGTTTCCAGGAGGAGGAGGAAGCGGAAGACGAGGCGAGGGGTGTGAAGGGATCGGCCAGGGAGGACAAAGAGGCCTTGGTGCTTCCCTGCCCGTTTTGGAGGCCAAGGGAGGAAGGAAAAGAAGGGGCGTCTGCGGAAAAAGCATTCTCACTAGGCCTGGCTCCCATCGACAGTGAGCTTGAAGGTCCACCGAGGCCAACCTGGGACGTCATGGTGTTGGTATTGCCACCGCCAGAGCTGCTGCCGCTGCTGCTGGATGCGGTCTTCGCGAAGCTGAACCCAGCAAAGGGGTTGGAAGCAGGGAGCTGGGATCCCCGGGCAGGCGCAGACGATCCTGCCGAGGACAACGAACCCTCCCCTCCAGAGAATCGGCGCGAGGCTTTGACGATCTTGCGCGTTTTCAGAACGCTGCGCGCA